GTTTGGCAGCTCCTGTGACGAATGGGATGAGGGCACCCTGCTCGGTAGGACAGCAGCTTCTTCCTGAAGTCAATGAGCTGTGACGTTTCAGTCTCAAGGCTGCTCCAAGGGCTGAGGTGATGGGCTCCACCATGGCCTTGCTGATGTTCACTGCAAACTAGCAGGCTACTGAGTGCACAACCTGGACAGCTGGGGTTTTTTTTATGTGAAGAGCAATTACCATCCATCTACTAATGAAAAGCAAGGAGAAAGAAACGGCTCAGCAGACGGTACCACAGTGTGTCCCTGGTGCACCCCCTGAGCATCCCCGGGAGCAGAGCTGGTGCCAGGGCTGGGGGGAGAGCATGGGGAACTGCACCACACAGCTTGCAGAGATGTTGCAGAGGGTGGTGAGCACAGGATTTGTGGCTCACAAGGCCAGAAGCAGGTGAACAGGGAAGCCTGTCCCCCAGCCATGCCATCCCCGTTGGCCTCGTGTGAGGTCTGGCACACTTCAGCAGGGCTCCTGGCATAGCACACAGGGCTGGTGGCTTGCTGAAAGTGTTGGACACCATCATTATACCAAAAAAAAGATGAAAATCAGTGTAAGATCCTGATCATACAGGCCTCTTACAGACCTTTCGTGGCAGGAGGGGAGGGAAAACCTCGATGCTTACTGTTCAAAAGCACCTAGGATGGGCTTCTATGAGGGTGGTGAGACACTGGAACAGGTTGCCCAGGGAAGTTGTGGATGCCCCCATCCCTGAAAGTGTTCAAGGCCAGGCTGGATGGGGCTTTGAGCAACCTGGTCTGGTGGGAGGTGTCCCTGCCCATGGCAGGGGGGTTGGCACTAGATGATCTTTGAGGTCCCTTCCAACCCTAACCATTCTATGATTCTATGATTCTGCAGCAGCAGCTCTCGTGGAAAATCCTCCGGGCCCACCTTTCTGCAATGAAATGAGCACTCGTGTGTTTGTTTCCCAGTGTAATATTTACTAATCCCAGTGGTGCTCTTCCATGGCTGTACAGAAACAGCGCTGGACCCCGTCACATCCCCATCGCTGGGTCTAGAGCTCCCTCCTCTCCCAGGTGCTTTGCAGAAATGCACCCTCCAAACGCTTCCACTCAAGCCTAGGGGGGGCTTTTGCATCCCCACTGCGAAAGCCAGGCTTCAAATCACAACCTGCTTTTTCCCTGTAAACAGCCTTTTCAGCTTAAGGCTCGACACTCCCTCACCTTCCCCTCCACCCTAAAAACAGGAAGAAAAACATTGCAGTACAAGCAATATATCTCATTTCACTGCAAAGCACCCCCCCAGGAGGCAATAGCTGCAGAGGCACATGCAGCCTCCAAGCATGCCTTTGCCTCATCCATCAAGGACGATGCTGTTAAAAATATCAGGCCGGTTCCTCCACTGCAATAAATCACTGCAGCTCCAGGGCTTCCTCTGCCCACTCAGGCTGAGATATTTTGGCCCCACCACAGGGTGAGTGAAACCTGCAGAAAGGGAGCAGGTCACAGCACACCCCACCAAGGGCATGCTGGTTGGGTTGCCGAGGCTGGGAGCAGGGAATCCAGCACAGATCTCTGCGAGGGCATCAGGGCAATGCTGGGGCCTCAGCAATGTGTTTTCCTCCTGGTGTTTGGAGCTGATGGAAAAACCTCGGGGCTGTGGAGCGGATTGTGGGACCAGTCTCCCAGCCCCTCATCCCCAACAAGGAGCACTGCGCCACTGGAGCCTTTTGCCATGAGATGCAAGAGAAGAAGTAAGCAGGAAAACAATAAATATGAGTAATAAACACAGAGAAGGGAAAAGGGAGCATCTAAACCCCAAACCAAATATTCAGAAGGGTCAGGAGGCAAAGCAGCAGTGTGAAAGCCTCACAGAAGTCAGGGCTGCAGGGCATTAGGGAGCTGTTGGCCAGCAGCACCTCTGCAGATTTGAGCTGTGCACCTCCTTCACACCATGGCCTAGGAAATCAGAAACCCCTTGAAATATTCTCATAGCGAGAGATCAACAAACACACCTCCCAAGGAGGGTAAACTGAATGCCTGCATTTTGCAGATGGGGAAACTGAGGCAGAGGGCACAGCAACATGTTCTGGAGGTTGTCCTGCTTCAGCAGTGTCCATTAAACCCAGATTAAGCCAAAGAAGGACACAACATGCAAACACAGGGGCTGGGGACCTCTGCGAGCTGCACAAGTACCGTATAGGAAGAGACCCCCGAGCCCCAGAGTGAGGGGGACTTCACAGCAGCCACTTGCCATGAGATCCCTGACCACAGTTATGAGGCACCAGTGCTTTCACCTGGATTTGCCAGGCTCTCTCTTACCCATGATTTCTCAACCCATTTTTGCCTCCTTTTCTGTTTTCTTCTCCCTGGTTGAGTTGTCCTGGTAGGATGGTTCAAGCTTAGCCTGGTTGGCCCACCTGCTGCGAGCGCAGGCTGAGAGCACCCATCTCCACATCCCCAGACGGTGAGTAATCTGTTCTCACGACTGCGCCTGGGGACCCGAGAGGCAATTAAGCTGATGCTGCTGGGTGGAAGGTGGTTTCAGGATGCTTCCTCCAGATGGCCAGATCTTTTCAGGAACATGTGTTCCCGCTGACGGCGGGGCTGAACAACCCCACGGAGCGCCGCGTGCCGGCTGGGCTACGAAGGCTGGCGCAGCCGGGATGCTGCGTGGCTGGCGCTGCATCCGTGAGTGGATGAGCAAAGGCTGAGCAGGAGACAACCCAAAGCCTTGCTGGGGAAAAACAGTTGGAGGCCACCTGCCGCAAGGATTGGCTTTTCTCTCCAGCTCACTCATCCGCTTCAAATTAGGAGCACGGTTGGGAGTTTAGCATCAGGGGGCTGCGCCTTCCCGGTGCCTGGAAGGGATGGAGGAGCATCGTGGGCCTGCAATGCCTGGTAGGGCTGCCATGGGGTGCTCCACGGCTCGCTGGGGACAGGGTGGTGTCCGCAAGGTGCCCATGGCTCTAAGGACCATGAGCTCTTTAGTGCAAAGTTCTCTGACCAATCACCATCTCTACCATGGTACCCCTAAGAAAATACACACCGGATACTGCAGGGCTGTTAATGGTGGTGTCTGAGGGAGCAGAACTTCTTGAAGACTTTTCTCTCTGGGGACTACGGGGAGTAGGGAGGGATAGATGTACTATAGCACCACCCAGCTTCACCATTTTATTGAACTTCACCACAATCAGCGGGTTTTCTTTCTTTGAAGCCCCTTTCAGGAGTAAGGAGACCTTAGGTTGCTTTTTTAAAGAAAATTAACCCTCACAGCTAGCTTGAGGGTTATGACCCTTCTAGCAAAATTGAAGGAAAATGGTAAACAACTGCACAACATAGTAAATTTTTAAATCCTCATGACCTTCTGGGGCACGGCTCCTGGAATCAGCGTTGCCCTGGTGGCATTTCCAGGAGCAGGCACACTCCGTGAGAGCTGGTGCTGGGAGGGAGCACTGGAAAGAGCTGTGGGGAGGGAGACGACCCGAACTGTGGGGTGCAGAGCTCCCCCGGGGTTGTGTTTATCAGCATCCCAGCAGGTCCTGATTCCAGCTGTGCTTTGGGGTAGTAGAGAACTCCCAGGGAGGTCTCCGGATCAGAACATAACCCTGTCGGACCTGCTCTGGCTGCACCCCAGCTGCAGCAAGCCTGTCTGTACAACCCATCGCCCTGTAAATGCCTGGCAGAGGAGACAATCACTGATTGGAAAGAGGTTTAGTTGGACTTTGTGTGCAAAGGGGCTTTCCAAACCTCAGCGTGTGCCTGAGTAAGCAGCTCCCTCCCTTTGTCACCCTGCCAGGGTGGCAGAAGCATTACCCATTGCGGTTTTCCCCAGCGTGGCAGGGTGGTCTCTGGCTGAACCGTGGCTTTGAAGAGCCCGAGGACAAAAAGCTGAGCTCTGGGCCACCTGGCTGGGGGAGGTATCAGGCAAGACTCCCCCTACACCACAGGGCAGCCCCAAACGGTACTCTGCCCAGTCCCATCTCACCGTCAGGGCATCTTCCATCAGTCTGCATTGCCACTTTTCCCTTTTTAGTGGATCACAATTATTCCCACCCCACACACTTTCCCTCAGCTGGACACACAGCATCTCCCAGCCTTAGGGTAGTGAAGAACCCTTGTGTTCTCCTCTGCGTGGCACAAAGTCCAAATGTCACAGGACTTCATTCTATTGCATCAGGCCCTCAATAAACCTTCTGATCTCCCCTATCACATGGGCAGGTGGTGTGATGGCAGGCTCCTAAAGCAAAGAAGTGCACGTTGCCCACGGCACAGTGGCACCTCCTGATTTACTCCTCTTGCTTTGTACCAGGGACTCGGCCACTTGGGACTGCCTGGTGTGCCCGGCTGGACAGCCTGGCTCATCTCCATCCAGGCATTGCAGGGTCCCCAGGCTTAAATCACTTACACCACACCAGTGACAAGCCCAGTGACTGTGTTTAATGTCGTTTAAACCTTCCAGACCCCTTTTTTTTTTTGAGTCCCTTTTTTGAGACCCTTTTTTTTGCTTTGAGTCCCCTCTGAGGTGCCCAAAATGCTCTGGGGATGGAAGGATCCAGAGCCAGCGTCCCCATGGAAATAAGTGCCCTTGGGGCAAAGTGAGGAGGTGAATATATAAATGTGTAACCGCAGGAGACGTCCTTCCCCCACACCTGGCAATCATTACTAGGACCAAGCTGCCCGTGACCTTCAGAAACAGGACAGGAAGGAATGAAATGCAGCCATTCCTGGTCAGCAGCTCTGGGGCTGCTTTTGAACCCCCATACCTAGACACCATGGGGCTTTACCCCACCAGGGCAGGACCAGGTGCCTAAATCCTTCTCCCCCTGCCTGCTCCAGGCCAGCCCAGCCGAGCAGCTCACCCCAGTCAAGACCCTGATCTCACTTCCATCTCCAACCAGAGAGTAAATAATTAACCTTGGGGCTTTCATGCATTTCTCCCCGCCTCTTTCCTGCCTCTTCCCTTCTTTTAAATCCCCAGACATAATGAAAGTGAAAGGGTGCTGGAGTCTTTCCTGGGGAGCAAACAGGAGAACATTCTGAAGGTCTTGGGCAGGTGGGGACAGGCCTTTTTTTCCACTTTCAGCCGCCCTTTTTCAGAGGGCAAAGGAGGATGGAGAGCAGTGCCGTGCCCAGAAGGAGCCCCTCATCCAGCACAGGCATGCAGGATGGTGCTCCTGCCAACTGAGGTGGGCATGCTCACCCGGACCCCTGCCCAGCAGAGCTACCACCCACCACCACGTCTCCCTGGGATTTCCTGCAGTTCCTCGGTTTCCACGGATCACACCTGCATTATCCCAGCTCCCTGCGGAGAGGATCAGTTAGGTCAGTACCAGGGTGTGTATCCCTTCTCTTTCCTTGCCTGTGGGCTCACCTCTTATGGTCCTCCTGCCTTGGCTCCCTCCACCACCCATCTCACCCCTTTGATCGTTGCTGCTGCTCTGGCCACAGAGCCTTTGTGCAGGGTTTGAGCTAAGGATCATCCCCCTTCCTACTGAAATTCTTGGAAAATGGGGTGCCCTCCTTTTCCTCCCACCCTCTGTATGGGCTGTGATGGGGTGAGCTCCTGAGCAAAGCAACGAATGATTAAATATCCCCCTGAGCAAGTATGACGCAGGGGCTGAGCCCCACTGGGCCAGCAGCTCGGCAGACCCACGGGAGGACGCAGTCCCTGCGGTTTATGGCCCGTGAAATAACCACGCACAAGGGAGCAAAACTCTGGCCGAACTCGGATGGAGGCAGGGTGAGATCTATTTTCAGAGCCCCAACATGTCCCTTCACTGCAATCGTATTTCAATCTCTGTCTCCTGTGAGCCGGGCAGACCTGAGACGGGCAGTTCCTGGGTGACCTCAAGCCATAGCTGTTTCTGATGATTTAAACTGATTGCTGAGCTGCCTTGAGCCTGCTGTGGGGGAAACATGGCTTCTCCCATCCACAGAGCTCTGCAATGCACAGCGTCCCTGTGAGCAGGCCCTGTTTGCTGGTGACCCGGTGAGAGCCCTTTTCAAGGGAGGGAAGGCAGAAGCTCTCTTCCTCCTTCCCAAGCACCCAAGCCAGGGGAAGGGTGGGCGAAGGGGGGAAAAATCTGCCTGCAGCAGGGCAGGAGCTGAGCAAGTGACTACAGCCCGGGAGCCCTGACAGGAGCACTTCTGCTGAAACTTGGCCTGGCCTCAAGTTACGCCAGGGGAGGTTCAGGCTGGATATTAGGAAAAATTTCACTGAAGGGGTTATCAGACATTGGAATGGGCTGCCCAGGGAGGTGGTTGAGGCACCATCCCTGGAGGTATTCATAAGACAGGTAGGTGTAGTGCTGGGAGATATGGTTTAGTGATGGTGATGCTTCCTGTTTGTTGTGCGGGTGTCTATTTTTGTCAGTTAGGTTGATGGTTAGACAAGATGATCTTTAAGGTCCCTTCCAACCTAGAAGATTCTGTGATTCTGTGAAATTTGAAAATCTCCTGCAGCATCCCCTGCAGCTCACACAGGGGCTTGCTTGGCCCCTCGAGACGCCCCTTCTCAGCGTGGCAGGATGCAGGGCGCCGAGGCAGGATGAGTGATGAGAACCTTCACTGCATCCCGCAGCCTGCCGCGCCGTAACCATGACGATTGGGAGCACGGAGACTGCCCTGGGTTTGATGGAAGGGGCGAGAGCAGAGCTCAGCCACCCACTGGGGACCGCTCACCCCCGGGCCACCTTCCAGCAGCGGCAGGCCAGGGCTCGGGCAAGGCAGAAGCGGCAGCAGCAGCGTGACCCAAAGTTGCTGTATCCACATCAGAAAGTGGCAATGCCTCAGCGAAGCTCAGGAAGGGTTATCAATCCTAGGTGGCTGGAAATCCACCTAGAAGAATGGAAAGTAAAAACATACCTTGTTACCAACCAAAATTGGTGTGTTTATACACCAGCGTTTCCTTGGCGCTGGAGAAAGAGGTGCCACTTGCCTGATTTATGGAGTTAAGCAGAGCTTTCCAAAGCTGAAAGCAGGCCAGCACCTTTTGTCTGTGGGTAGAGAGATTGTTCCAGTTGCTACAGGCTAGAACAACTTGCTCTGTTCTTGTATTAGGCACAGGAAAGGGATGGGCCAGGTTTGCAGTCCCGGACTGACTTGGGAGGCACGGTAATACCTTGTTATGAACATCTTATCTAATTCTGCTCTGTTACACATTTCAGTGATTACCATCAACCTGTTTGGAAAACCCCTCGTTGAAAGATAAGATGAATAGAAATATGGAGTTATCCCCAAGGAGCGTGACCAAAGAACCAACCTCTCCGACAAACAGTGTAGGGGAGAACAAGATGGAGGTTGCTTCTGAACTGTGCAGCCCAACTTTGCATAGCAGAGACAGTGGGTTCTTTGAAAGAGGTATTAAAACCATGTTAAGCATCCGGAAATCACAACGAAGCCCAAACAAAGAGAAAGGAAAGGAAGGTACTGGTACTTGGAGAGGAAAACGACTTTCTCTGCGATTCATCAAGAGCTGCGAGGAGAACAAAACCACCATCTGTAATGGTGTGGAAGAGACGGTTACTGAGAAGATAGAAGCAGAGCCCATTCAAGCAAAACCTCTTTCTGGTAAGAAGCAAAACCACCAGTGTAATTTGCTTGGTAGGATATGTGTAACCTTCAACTAATTTACACTTTTCAAATCTTAGGCCCAACAGAGATGCTAAAGAACCAGGCATCCCATTACAGGGCAGAGACTAACTGTCACCCCTTGCCCAAACTCGTTGGGGTGTTACCTGGCCCAGCCTGGACAGGTCACCTGTCACTGAACAGGCTGTTCATAGAATCATAGAATCATAGAATTGTCTAGGTTGGAAGAGACCCTTGGGATCATCGAGTCCAACCATCTACCCTACTCTACAAAGTCATCCCCTACACCATGTCCCTTAGCACTGCATCTAAATGGCCCTTAAACACAGCCAGGGATGGTGACTGTGGCCTCTACTATGTTAGTTTAACCATATCCACAGCCTGCCTACAACCAGTGCATCAACCTGTTGGCTCAGCTATCAGCAGACATGTTGTGCATCATACATACCAGTCACCCATCTGCTGGTGACAGTTTGGGAACTCCTGGTCTGATGGTACCCAGAAGTGCAGGGTGGGCCATTCCTACACTGTTGCCTGCACTGCACTTTTGGACAATTGTTTTCTGCTTTTTAGCTCTCAGGCTGACGGTCCTCAGATTGTATTCTGTAGGCTGCTGCAAGGCCTTGAAGGGGAAGAAAGATGGTTTGGATGTGATCTGCTTTAGCACCTCCACCTTGGTTCCTAATCTTAGAGACTGCCTTGCAAAGGGACCTCTGCAGCTGCTTTTACTCTCTTATGCTGACTTTCCATCTATTCTTCTCACAACATCAGTGATGCAAATATTTTTTTGGTTTGCTTTCCCCAGGCTGGTTCTTCTCATGCACTTTGTCAGCATTATATAGATAGCTCTTAGTCAAATTGTAATAACTACCTTCAGCATAACTCTCACCTTTCCCAAGTGTGGGCAGACTGCAATGACTTTTTGATCTTGGTTTGAGCACTCTTCTCCTCCGCCTTCTCAAGGCAGAGGTACTATGGTGCATCCACCAGGAGATAGGTTGATGTGGGTCAACAGGGCTTGACCTTTCCTCAGCCTAAATTTCTAGAAAGAAATTATTGGTCTACTGCATTTGGTGTCATGAGAATCAGGTAGAAGGGCCGACATTGTCTCCTGGCTACAACGTGCTCTGCTGTGTCATAAGGTTATTTACTGCTTTGCACTGATACGCTGCGAGGTTGGTAAACTGGATCTGAGCCCACCTCATAAACTTTGCTAGTCTGTTCTCAAAGGGTCATAGATGAGGAACGACATGAAATGTTACCATAAGCCCTTTTGATCTCCTGCAATAAACAAGCTGAGGAATTGCATTAATAAGGCCCATCCTGTGCCCAATAACTTGTGATTGGCCTAGACTAGAGCAGCTCTGTCAGAAACACATCCCATCCTGAGATAAATATGGCAAGCGATGGAGACTCCACCATGTGCACCATTAAGCTGCATAATGGTTAATTGCCTTTCAATTGTCTTCCTTCAGCTACCAGCTGGCTGATCTCGTATTGCTAAATTAAAGATCCATTTAGCACCCAATATCACCTCCCTGAATAATTACCCTAGATGGTGATTAAATGGTGTTTTCTCACTTTGATAAACAGAACAGAATGTATTCCTTTAGTCTCTCACTGCAAGCACTTGTGCAAACACAGGTTTTGTATTAATTTTCTAGAAGAGACGAAGTTAATTGGCACAGTCTCCCTTCCCTCCGAGTGCAGAAGAAACTGTAGGTCCATATAGGAAATCAAAGCTATGTGCATTGTATGCTGCATTAATAGTTGGGTTATTTGGTTTATTTCTGTCTTCATACAGATGCTCTTATGCTGCATGGATTATTTGGTGCATATGGTAGAGAATCTGTGTGCAGACAAGCCCAAGGGCATAAATTATGGGCTATGAACCAGTCCTTCATATCTTGAGTGCTTTGCAATTATTCTGTACCATTTTATATGTGTATGTCTGAGAAGCAGTGGCCACACATGCCTAAATAATACCCTTTCCCTTCTCCTCTTTAATATTGTCTCATGCCCGGTGTCACAGTGGGATCTCCTGTTCAGAGCATCTGTTATCATGCTGGAGATGGCAAGAGCTTCCCAGGGCCTCTCAAAAGCCAACAGTGCTCTTGGATCTCCTCAACACATGGAAAATGCTTCTTGTATTACTGGAAAATAGGCAGTGGTTCTTGCACCAGCAAGGCTTTGAAAAAGAAATGGGAAACTAAGTAGATCTCAGCCACTTTGGGGGTAACAGTATTTGGTGACTTTCCCCCAGTCTCAGCCAACACCAGCCAGTACTGGTAGTGGGTACCCAAAGCAGAGGAGGTGGGGAAAACCTACGTGAGACCAGGAGAAAGCACGCACAGGTTTGGATCCCCCTCTATAATATATTAATGTCCCCAAACCATGCAAGGGCAGCAGTGCTTGGTTGAGAGGAGACTGAGGACAGCAAGCATTCATTGAACCTCTTCTAAATGTCTGGAACAAGTAAGAGGCATCTTTCAGAGTCCCTTTGTTGTGGTAGGCACAGGCTGGTAAAGATGGCCAGCCATGGATGAGCCAGTGTCTGGCTTGCTACCTCAATCGCTGTATCTCAAGGAGTCCTCATGATAAAAAAAATCACCAACAACCTCTGCAGTTCATGTTAGCATTTTACTAAGTCCTCAGAAATGCAGGAGCAAGCTTAGCCATGACACCAGTTGGGAAAGTGTCTTAGGAAAACTTGATAATGTACAAAATCAGGACAGGAGGGAAGCACGGGGTTTGCCCAGCGTTACATCTGAACGGGGAATGTTCCCAAAAATGTATCAGAAGCATCCCCCCGGTGGCTTCCCCAGGGCCTTGGTATCTCTGGGGGACATGCTGGTGGGTAGGCTGGGGGCAGCCATGACCCTCTAGTCAGATGTCTAGCCCAGGAGCTCAGAGGGCCTGAGGGGGTCTGTCCCACTGTGCTGCCTCCCACCCCTACAGCTGGACCCCTGGGCACCCTCCCTGCCTTCTCGGGCACCCCACTGGAACGTCCTTTCAGCCAGAGATGCTGTGGCCAACGCAGCAGGGGCAGAGCTGTGCTGAGTACACTGGGAAACAAGGGCATCCCTGCCAAAGGAAATCCTGCTGGGACGGTCTGTCACCAACTCTTTCTGCTGCCAGTCACACTTCGGCTCCTCACTAACAGGAGGGCAGAGCCAGGGGTGGTTTTTACGCAGCCTGAGACACCAGTGCCCCCCATGCAGCCTCGCCAACCATTGCCTGAGGTTTTCCTGCAGGGCTATAATTGGTTTTTCAGATATTTCCTACCTCTGAAACCAGCAGTCTGGAGATGTGGCTCCATTTACAGTGATTGCACTGCTTTCCTCTCCTGTGTCAAACACAAGCTGGAGTGATGGGGCCAGGGGGGGCTCAGTCTCAGGGGCACTGGTGGGACCTGGCTACTCAGAGCAGCCCTGGGAGCCTCCCTGTGGGACATCTTGTCCTGTTCCCAACCTGTCAATCCCCTAACGCCTGCTTTGTCCCAACCCCTTCCCCCCTTCTTCCTGCAGTAATGGAAATCAATGAACTTATTCAGAAGAGGCAACTTTTGGAAGCTTTTGCGAGCGTCAAGTACTTGGAAGATGAGACAATCGCTGAACGGGATGCTGAGAAATACAAAGATAACCCCCAGGAGTTTGTGAGGAAATCCAAGGACGTGGATCTGCTTTATAACTCCATCACAAGCGCGATCCAGTCCATCGTGATGGGAACACTGGAGCATCCCACTGTGGAGGATACCATGCTGACCTCCATGGTGACTTTAATCGCCCGTGAAGAAGCAGCTCATCCTAACACAGGCAACGCTGCTTGTCCTGGGATGGACTTGCTTGGCACACCCAGAAAGTGGAGGGAGAAGTGGAGGGAGGCTGTCAATGAGAGCGCTAGAAAGAGAGTCCAGAGCATGCCCATGGCATCAAAGGAAGAAGAGAGTTCTTGGCTTGATCTCCACTTAGGTTTCCTCCAGAAACACCTGAGTGAAGACTTACTGAAAATTAAGTTATCAGTAAAAAAGTGCTATCCAGAGGAGTACCAGGTGTGTGACATATATGTGGAGGCCTTTCATAATGCCATTGCCTCGCACCTGCAAGAGCTCTCCCATAGACCCCTGGGATTCAACGAGCTCTACAGCTTGCTCGACTGGGTGGCCAACACCTACCACAGGTAAGATGCCACACTTGCCACACTGCTTCGGCCTCCTCTGGGGAGCAGCAGGACCACGGGGTGTTTTCAGAGCACAGAAAGGAGCTGTTTTTCTCTGAGCAAGCAGGAGAGACTTCTACAGTAGAACCAGATAGCTAATCTATTAATAGGTGGGGACAAAGGTTTGCTGCTTTTCGCAGATCTAAATTACCTCGTTTTCCCCTCCCTCTCCCACTCACTGTTCTCACATGCCAGGAAGCTCCTCCTTGCAGCACTGATAAACCTCCTCGCTTTCTGCAAATATTTTGCCAGGTCCAGCAGCTGCTCAATGACTTTCCCAGGCATAGGGAGGGACCTATGGGGGAGCCCTGCCTTCTTCCTGTTTAATTAATACTGTGATGCGTTTGGAAACAGGCCACGTTACCCTCAATGTTCAGGGGTCAGAGTCCTCTCAAGAAGGTGCCGAGACATTACCATGTGGAATTAGGAATTTTAGGATCTGTTAAAGCTCCCCGTAATTCAGGGGTGACTAAAATGTTTTAGGAGCTGCATAAACATATCAAACATCATCCTCAGGGCACCCTGTGTGTGTAGGAATAAAGGCAGGAATTTTTCACAACAGTAAAAACTGTGTGGCTGGACGTTGCCTCCTTTTACAGCCAAATGAGACATCTAAGATAGGCACCAGTAGAAGGTTGTGTGTCCTCAGTTGCTCTCTGGGCTAGACCACGGCCCATGATTCCACCACCAAAAAGCTCTCCTGGGTTTAGATCCAGCAGAAATACACGGTGTGGTGGGAAGGAGGAGAGAGGCAACATCTACAGGAGATGAATCTGCTAATAAGCACGTAAGAACAGCCATGTCAAAGCAAAATTGTGTCTCTCCCAGAAGCTGGTCTCCAGGAATGGCCTGAACTGGATAACCAAGGATGGGACAGACGCAAACCAATTGGTATCCCTCAAACAAACCAAAATGTGAGTGAAGACAGGAGTATCAACACTGAGTTAAACAGTGGGCAAAAATGACAGGGAGGGAGCAGTGGTGGAGCAGAGCAAGCAGCAGTGACACTTGCCCAGAGCACTCCTAGCCTGGGTAGCTTTTGGCTCAGGAACATTTGGACCACAGATGATTGTCGTTTTGAACAGCCCTAAACAGACTTAATATGTGAACTTGCCTAGTTGGTCCTCAAAACTCATTTAGAGTGGTGACTGCTGACATGTGTGTAACTTCCTCAGCATCATGGCACGGGCTGAGCAGTGGTATGGCAGAACCACTATGGGAATGACACTCCCACCCATTGCCCCTCTCCCCACTGTGTCCCTGTTGATCTCATCTGGAGGGAAATTCCTGGATGTCCCCAGCCCCTGGGGCACTGTACTGCACCCCAGCATTGCAGGAGAGGGGAGAAGAAACGAGCTTCAGCAGGCAGGTTCTGCACCAAAGAAAAGTGCCCCCATGGTATTTCTCTGACTTGCTGTGAAAGAGCTTATTAAGAGCTTGCAGCTGTTTGGGGCACTGCCTGCAGTCAGTCACCTTGTTGGGTTGGGATGTTTCCATTGGATTTTCCCATTCTGAAAGAACTTCATCCCCTCTTGGGACCCATCCCAAAAAAGAAAAAATCACCTGACCTAAACTCATTATCAATGCTACAGTTCAAACAAATGGAAAAAAAGAAAGAGAGGGGAATAAGCTCCTCGAGTATACATTTGAGCCAGTCATTTAAGCCACAGTGGAGAGTTTGTATTTAAATGTGTGGTGTCCTTTTAAATGAGCAGCAGACTCCTGCAGCAGCTGGGCTGTGCAATGCTTCACATGTACAGATGTACCTCTCCTGGAAATCTGAACCATGACCGTGGGGACACAGACTCCAGGCCACTATCAGCGTGCTGAGTGTTTTTTTCTGCTGAGCAGTCACTCTGCATCAGCCTGACCTTGCACAGTGCAATTCTCACCTGGACCCAAACTTGACCTTGTGCTGGGTGCTGGTTTGGTGGTGGGAATGCTTTCCGGTGGTTGAACAGGCTTCACACAGGACATCACAGCTCTGTTCCTTCCTAACCAGGTGACTGCTTGCAACTTATTCCAATGCCTGAATATTTTCTTCTTTCTCATCCCCACCTTCATCACTTCAAAGACGCAATGCCTCCACGGTCCAGTCCATGGCTAATTACAGGGGTAGCACATTCAATTGTACCGGCTCGTAAGGGGTTTCTTGCCCTGGAGGGAGAAACACGAGTGCTCTCTCCCTTTCCCTGCTAATCAGCTGGCCTGATTACACTGCAATCAAGGGGAAAGTGAGTGGTGAAGTTGTGTGTCAGCTGAGAGCACTTTGTAGTCAGACTCTGTAGCTGCATGTCCGCCCACCGTTTCCATCTGCGGAGGAAGCAGAGGGGCAGCGATGTCCCCTGTCCCGAGCACGGGAATGCCTTCCAGAGCCTGCCCTGCACAGAGCAGGACCTGCCCTGCCACCTCCCTGTGCCAGGGATAACCCACAGGGAGACAGAACGGGCTGACACGGGCTGTGATGTGACACCAGAGAGGAGCCGGGGGGATCAGCTAACTGCACAGCAGCACGCTGCTACAGGAATTACCCTGAAAGGCATTTCGCAGGCTTGCAGTCAAGTGAATCAGCTTCAGCTTGTTTATTTAAAAAAGTAAATTCTCATAGCGCTTTTCATGTCCAAACAACTCAGAAGTCTCATGATTTCTAAGGTGGGCTGGAACCTTAGATCATTTTGATTTTGAATAATTAGGATTTTGAATAGTGAGGAAAGATTTTCTTGTTAAAGCTTGAAAACAAGCATCTCAATTTAAGCTTTAAGTGTATCTCTCACGGCTTAATAATTATGTAGCTCATGCCACATGAATATTCCATCAATTTACTTATACTCCAAGGCAACGTAATTTGTTCGCTTGAATCTTTCCAGTGAACTCTTTCTGGGTCACCCTGATCTCAAACCAGAAGTTAAGACAGAAAACCTGTCCCTGCTGTTGACACCAGCCGATTGGGATAAACTGAAGAGCGACTACATCACTTCTGCAAAGGTGAGAGTTTTGCCCTTGCCCCCATGTGCCCCACAGGGAGGGTATGGAAGCCCCAGCATCCCTGGGCAGAGGTCTTGGATGGCTGCATCATGGTTCCCAGCCCCACTAGGTGCTGAGTCCTGCCAGCACCACTCAGAATGGCCTTTAATCAAAAGCAAAAAGTCCTGAACAACACTTCTGGGACCAAAGAAGGCCATGAGTTTGAACCTGGATGATTACAAAGCCAAAAGAACTGTACCAGACCCATACAATATTGCTGAGGCATACCAAAAGGTCATAGCTGGGGTTCATCAGACTGAAAGCACTGCCAAGTTAGGAGTAAAGACATTTTAGCTGCTACTTTCATGGGGTGTGAGCTCCTGCAGCACATCTGAGGCTTGCTGTAGCCAAACAACTTTGGGCTTGTCCCCAGCAGAGGACCCCCCCGTGCTTCAGCTCCTCCTAGGAAGCCCCTTCTTCAGTTGTCTTTCTGCTGTCCTGGGCTGGGACCCTGTGTAAGACTACATGCTTTCCTGGCTCTTTGGGGGGTTCAGACATTTTCTCACAAACCATTTCTGAAGCAGGGCAGTGCTGAAGGTGAGCTCAAGGTACCCAGCTGAATAAAATCAGTATTGCTCCATGGTGCTGGTGAAGGATGGTTTTGTTTCACCGGCAGCGAGATTGATTTATCAGCCAGGACTGAGCAGTGCTGCCACTTACACAAGTGGCTGGACCTCCAGAAAGGACCAGTGTGACTTTGTGCCTTATGTGACCTGGAGGACTTTGCAATCAAGCAGTCAAACAGCTGACACAATATTTGCGTGCCAGCAGAATGCAAATTCCAGATTCCCCTTTGGTTCGGGAGAACCTTGCCCCCGCACGGCACAGCTCCTGGTTTTTCTCAGGTTCCTGTGTAGTCTGACGGGGTCTGGAGCAGGACCTTTGACTCTGCTTACCTTTCCACGCCCCACTCATGAGCCTTACACACGTGCCGACGGAGCAAACCACCCCAGGCCACTTTACTCATGCTTCCTTCATTATCCTGAGCTGCGTGTTTCCTTCCTACGTTTAACATTTAGGAGAAAATCAAAAGCTATTTTGGAAACATCCTGAGACTGGAGGTCACGGAGAAGTGGGAGAAGGAAGTTCATCCAGAAGTGAAGGAAAACCTCTACCACTCCTCGCTCTCCTTTGATATTCAAACGGTATTTAATTAGCGGGGACAAAGTGTAGGGGGGCTCTGTGGCTCCAGGGAAACTGGATCATTACCTTCTGGGGTGGAGGTACCGCCTCCTGCGATAGTTTATGTTAGTCACGCACTGGCAGAATACATTAGAGCAGAAAATGCAGTTTATTACAACTTTTAGCTCTCCCGCTTGCCTTCTAGCTGCAAATTAAACCTGCTGTCAATTGTGTCAGCAACATAATAGGCAACTGATTTTAAAGTCCTTAAATCTCTTTGATTAGAAAGAAGAAAGAGAAAGGGGAAAAAAAGGCGGAAAGAAAAGGTTTGTTAGAAAAACCCTTTGGCTGAAAGAGCAACTTTGTCCCGGGGCTGCGGCAGCCACGGAAAGGCTGTAGGCAGTGACAGCCACTCCAATTTAAACAGTATAAAAAACAAAAGCTCCCACTAGCTTTAGGGACTACAGGGTAATAAAGCCAGGAGGGGTTCGGATTCATTCTCCTCACTCAAAAGGTTGAGTCATTTCAATTAAATATTACCAAAAAAAAAAAAAAAATGAAGAGGGAGAGAGAAAGAAAGAAAGAAAATCAAAGAGTTTTGCCGGCTGCCGTGACTCATTTTCCGTAGAGGAATATTACACGTTGTGTGATCACCGGGAAGGCAGGTCTGAATTGGATTAGCAGATGGGTAGGATGCCTCGGGAAATGCCAGAGCGGGACAGCAGCCTGCCTCACTCCAGAGAGGCCACTGGGACTATGGGAATGGGAATCGGGGCAAGCAAGATTTCAGGGTGATGCCCAAGCCTCCGTGCAGCCCTGGTGTCGCTCCTGAGGAGGGGGATTGTTTGTCCCCCCCAGGGGTGGTGCTTAGAGCCACCCTCAGCATGGGGACACGGGGATGGCTCGGCTCCCCTGGGGCATTGGGCTGGGGATTGATCCACAAATCCCCCCAAAAGAGGAGGATGGAGGCTGGGGGCTCCAGTCACCACCACATCTAGTTCACGCACCACTACATGATTACACCGTTACACAAATCAGTTTGTGCCTCTTGGCCCATTCTGGATTATTATTTTTAAAACGACCAGAGAGTAATACAAACCTCCTGGCAACAAGTTGGCTATTTCTCCCTTTGCTAGGCAAGTCATTTTTATCAACCAAAGCTGCACAGGATCCTTGTCTCTCCTGCACTTGTCATATTCACTGGCATTTTTTCATGCCCTTTTCTAGATCATCGCGGAGCACATGAAGATATCTGGAGACATCAGCAAGAGCCTGGGAACACAAACGCTTGAGCTGTGCCTGGCAGAGCTGCACGAATTCTTACCAAGGTCATCGCCGCTCCGGGCAGCACATTCCTTCCAAATCAGTCCCACATTGGTAAAAAAGCAGGGAAAAGGACCCTGCGTTGGGCCAGACACTGGCACCCAGCAGGCACGGGTCTGCTCCTGGGAGAATTGGAGATCACAATGAGCCCAGTGCCAAGCAAGCAGCAAAACAACTTGGAGGGAGTCATAAACAGACCCAGATGGGACTCTTGCAAGTCCCAAAAGCTGAGGTCAGAGCTCCGGGAAGGAGCTGCTGGATGAAAAGGAGTAGGACCGCTGTGGTCCCATCCACCTGGGACCTTTGTGCCCTTGGATGCTGGTCGCTTGCAGCTGCAACCAGCAGTTACGGACCCCCAGACCCAGAGCCTGCTTGCCCAAAGCACAATCTAGGTGTCCACGGGTGAGACCTGCTGAGGGGGATTTCTCCAGCATCCCATGGCTACGGGCATAGAAATGGCTGATGAGACCCTCTCTGTTACAAAAAACATATAGCTACACTGCCTTCTGAGGCTTTTTAAAACATATCCAGTGTCCAAAGGGCACAGGACGCAGCAACTTTGCTGAAATAATGATTTGGTAGGCCCATCTCTGTTACAAAAAACTTATAGTTACGCTGACTTCTGATCTTTTTAAAACTTATCCAGTGTCCAAAGGCCACAGGACCCAGAACTTTGCTGAAATAATGATTTGGTAGGCCCTGATTTGGTAGGCCCTGATTTATGGTCTTCTTCTCCCCTGTGACATGCTTTGGGGATGCTGCAGGGAAGGATTTTTGGCTCGCAGAGGGTCCCAGCACAGCAACACGCTGTCCGACCCCCCCGGCAAGGCTGCATTTTTGGGGGGTTCAGGGCCGCTTGCCGGAGCAGTGATCTGCGGAGGAGAAAGGCCCTTCGGCATGAATCAACTCCGAGCGAGACTAAAAATAATTTCACATTAACCTTTGAAGTTTCCCACCTCCGGCAGGCGCTGAGCGGGGAGTTTGCTAATAGACGTTTTGCAGAAGTGAGGGTGGGGAGCCCAAATGCTGCTTTTTCAGACCATGAACCCGGGCCATGGCAGGTGCCCAAAAGTGCATGAAAGGCACGTTTTTCCCCTTCTAAACCCTCATCTCCAATGGCCCAGCCATCTACACTTGTCTCCCTTGCCCTAGGTGAGCAGGGTTGTTCAAACCAGCTATTTGGCTTTGAAGTCTGCCTGCGTTTTTGAGGAGAAACACAGTACTGATGTTCCATTCTTTCTTTTTTTTTTTTCTTTTTTCCTCTTTTTTCCCCCTTTTTCCTATTTTCTTCTTTTTTTCCCCTTTGTTCTCTTTTTAATTTTTTTCTTTTTTTTTTTTTCTTTTCTTTTTTTTTTTTTTTTAAACAAAATTGGTGTAAAATGCAAGCCGGGGTAGCAAGGGCCCCCAGATGAAAGGGTCACTGAAACTTAGGCTTTTCCTTAAACAAAACTGAGATGCGAGTGGCTGAGGCCAGCTCGAGCAGGTTCCTTTACCCTGACAAAGAATGGGAGCACCAGGCAAAGCCTGCCTGAGCATGCAGCCTCCTGCCAGCAGCGTGGACCTGGCTATAAAACAGCTGTTAAAGCCATAAAAGCAGTGTGGGTTGGACTAAATGATCTCCAGAGGTCCCTTCCAACCCCATATCGGTCTGTGATTCTGGGGTTCTGAGCAGTGCTACACGGAAACCAGATACCAAACATACCCTGCTGAGATTGAGGATGGGAAACATAGGTGTGATGCCCTCTTCCTGTTCACCTTCTGTTGTAAAATCAGCCCTGAGGTAAATCCTTTCCTTGCGCGCTTAGGAGGCCACGTATTATATTGCCCCAAAAGCCAGAGAAATGAAGGACCAGACTGATGAGCCTGAGTACCACAATTAGTCCCTCAGCGTGAGGAAAAGTCAGAGATTTGGCGTGCCGAGATCCCTGGCATCTCTCCAGAAGTGCTGCGTACCCGCTCAAGGCACCCTAAACCCGTAATTATCTGCCATCTCTTCCCCTCCAATGCACACACATGTTATGACAGCTGGAAAAAAACATGTCTGCATACAGAGGGGACAGGTTGGGCCAGCCACCAGTGTCTCCTGGCACCACTGTGTACACAGAAGATGAGCCATCCTCGGTCCCCCAGCCTTTATCATTACCTACGTGTCTTCTCCTGCAGGTTTGGGGAGGACTTTGTGGAGTGGAGCACTGCACAGGACAGTCCCATCTTTGCACCCTATTTTGCTGCCTACATCAACAGCTTCCATGACCTGCTGTAAGTCCCCCCACAAGCCGAGCTGCCGCATTGCTGGGGTATGGGAGGGTGGCAATGTCCAGAAAGGAAAGACCAAGGTCTCCTTGGGGTGCTTCATGGGGTGCTCAGCTTCCAGCCCTTCCTCGCCTCTTGGGGGAGATGTTCCTCAAGAGATGCAGATACAAATCATTTCACTGGGGCAGAAAGATGAAGAAACAGAGGTGGGGATGGATGTGGTTCATGGACAGATCCGTGAAATCAGATCAGGTTCTTGTGTGAAAGCTTTAAACTAATTTTCAGCCCATCTTTTTCAGCCTCAAGAGGAGGGTCTTTTTTTTTTTTTTTCATTTTTTGTTCTGGAGCTTGGCAGAATAAACCCAGCAGCATGGTCTGATGGCTGCTTTTGGCACCAGGCTGGAGGAAACTCCGTGCCAGCCCCCCTGCAAATAAAGCCCTGCCACGGCTGCTGGCAGGAGGAGGAACTTCTAGGGCTTTGGGTGCATTATGAATTAGTTATTTAAAGCCATGCCTTGAAAAGGTGTCTGATAAACAAGTATGCCCATCAGCTCTGGGCATCCCTGCCGTGCAGATGCGATGCTTTGGAGGTCAACCTGCCAAGCAGCTGAGAAACTTGGGGTGTTGCTCCATCTCTGCCCGGCACTGCCCAAGGTGGGGATGTTACATGCTAAATATTATTGAGGGGATGCAGAGGATGGTGTGTTGCAGTCTCTCACAGGAGCCAAAGGCTCCAGCCGCAGTGAGCACTTCTCTTGGGACGTCTCTAGATGGCATGGTCTCTCCAGCAATGCTAACCTCGCCGAGGAGCCGGCTTTCTCTCCCTCCTTCTGCAAAAAATTGCCAGTTCCCTGGGGCTGGCTTCTCCCTTCACCACCTCTCCAGTCCCCAGCAGTCCCCTAAGGGGACTGGAGAGGTGGTGAAGGGAGAAGCCAGCCCCAGGCAGGGATCTGACAGGCATTTAGGTGGTGGATTAGCTCCTCTGGGTTTATCCCTGTGTTGAGTTAAATATTTGTCAGCCTGGGGTGAGAGGGTTGCTCTTAACGTGTTTTGTAGTCCTGCCTGAGCATCCTCAGACACAAACAAGTTACCAAGCAGCAGCAGGAACCCACCGTGCCCCGTGGTCACAGGAGCGGACGTGGCACGTCCAGAGATGTTTGGGGACCACCGGCGTTTTGGTGGTGCTGCCTCAGGTCCCCCTCGGGCTTTTTCTAGTGGGGCAGGGATGGAAAGTGAGAAGAAAGCCAGGATCTCGCAATACCCCCAAAAGCCCATGCGTACTGCTGGGGATTTCATTAACCTCTCCAAAGTTGTGTTCTCTTCCTTCTTGGTGTGAAACCTTGCAGAAGTACGCACTGTCCCTAGGAAACTCCACAGGTTTCCACCTCCGTAGTTCACCATCCCAACTGCTGCCGATAAACGCTGCCCGGAGTGAGTCAGCAGGGCTCTGGGGGACGCCGGGGTCAGCAGCTTTCCCTTCTCCAGCTTTATTATTTACTTCTCTCAGTGCTCTCTCAGGTACCTGGAGATCATTTAGCAGAAGTATTGCTCAAGTGAAAAAGTAACCAGCCCATGCAACCGCTGTGCATGGTTGAACCACCCCACCTGATGAGGAAATAGGTGTTTTTTTAAGCACAGTTATTCAGTTGTGATTAATTTTCTGTGTATGGATTGTGCAAAAAGAGTCATTACTTTCACCCATTAAGTGTTTCCAAGAGGAAGTAGTAGATACACAAATTTATTTAAAAATAGTGTCCAAGATGCCAATCTGGATAAAATGCTTAGGGGGGTGTAATAGTTTACATAGTTAACATTAACCCACTGGTGGTGTCTCTCCCTCTCTCTCTAGGTCAGGGTTAGAAACAGTGTTTAAAGTCAACACTGAGGAACTGCAGAAGATCTTGGCAGCTCTGACAAGGAAGTTCACAAATATTTTTTTAAATAAATTAAAAACAAAAGCACAGGTAAGAGGATCTTAGCCACATTATTTCCTAAATAGAAGGGGTATGTACAGGACCATGGCAGCAGCAGAGGGCCGTTGCCCTTCCCTTGTCTCACCAGCTAGACCTTGGTTTGCAGCGCATGACATCATGGTCCCTCCAAAATCCATCATGCCTAACATTTGTAGAAATCCTCCTTAATTGAAAGCGAAACTTTCAGCATCCTGGGAGCTTTTCTGCTGTGAGTAATGATACTTGTGACTATGATATGACAAGTAATGATACTTGTGATCAATACTCACTGCTGTGAGTAATGATATTTGTGACTCTGTTTGCTTTAGTACAATGGCAACCAAAAGAAAAGGGTATTTAGTGGCTTCCAGCATCTCAGGTAAAGCAGTGGAGGGAAACCTTACCCACAGTGAAGCACCAGGGAAATCAGCACCAATGGGACGTTTTTCCTTCTATCAAAACATTTGGATTTTTCAAGACTTTTATTTACTCTCACTTATTCATAGATCTGCCATCACAGTCCATTATCAACCTCTTCAGACAGGACAGAATTCATTCTGGTAGAGGTGATTTTTCCGGGCTGTTTCCATGGTGAAGAAAGACTGATTCTTTCATCATGAGGATGCTAAAGCTCTGGTATCATCTGATAAAGCTTTGGTATCATCTCAACTTGTGTTAAGAGGCCTAAAAGGCAATGTGCTGCAATGCAGTTTGTGCTTCCCAGGTGCTACAGATGGGGCTTTCTGCCCCCCCCAGCTGGCTGGGGGTCCCCTACCTCTAGCTGGTATAACACCAGATGGGGAAAATTAAGCCTTTGGTCTGACCTCTTTTCACTCATCCTAATTCACTTTCTAAATCACCGAGCACAACTTTGAGTGGCCAAGACAGTCACACAACTGCTCCAGTCCAAGCCAAGGGGACTTTCCAGTGACTGCAGAGCTTGTCTCAGAGCCTAAGGGGCAGGAGAGGAAGGAATCAAGCCAAGGCATTGAGCAAGAGAGCCAAAATGCCGTGAGAACTGCGAATGGCCGGGACAAAGCATTTCCAAACAGCCCTCCAGCAGGCTGGGAGCACAGCAGGAGGGAACAAGCGGGGGAAATAATTGGGAAGGAGAATGCCAGGAGTTGAAAGACAGAGATCCTGAGAGCTAAGAGGAGAAAAGCACAAAGGGAATGTGCCAGAGAAGGAATATTTTGAATTTTGCCCTTAGGGGAGCCTCTTCCAGGTGCTTTTAGCGGATATTGCTGTATTTCTGTGTGGAGGGACATTTAGTTCTGGGGAGCTGGCAAGGGGCCCCCTGCCCACTGGGGACAGCATATGGAGGGACATTTAGTTCTGGGGACCTGGCAAGGGGCCCCCTGCCCACTGGGGACACTTGGTCAGAGCACCTTGTACCCAGGGCAAATGGGAAACAGTGCCATCACCTCCATATCATCACTGACCATGAGGCATCAAGTTGGGGATGCTCCCAGCTATTCCCCCACCACCACATCAGAGCAGTGAGAAGGAAAATCCCAGTGAGACACAGATACATGGGTCTGCAGGCAGGACAGACAGCCCCCTGCAAGTGCTGTGAGCAAGAGAAGCTTGATTTTCTCATGGAGAAGGCTGGAGGGGTGATGGGCTAATTTCCAACAGATTCACTACCAAGTGACATATCATGTCCATAGCTAATGCAAACCCAGGTAACACTAGCATACATGGTTGCACACCACAGCCTGTTCTAGCCATGTTGTCCATAGCTGGTGCAAACCCAGGTAACACTAGCATACGTGGTTGCACACCACAGCCTGTTCTAGCCATGCTTGAGTTTCCTCTGATTAACTTTCATATCTGTTTCTTCATCCATACAGTAGGGATGTGAATTTATTTACCTAAAGAAATATAGCTGCTGGATTAGAAGGCGGCACGGAGCAAAGAAATGAGGTGTCCCAAGCAAAGCCTTTAATGCCAAAGCATCTCCTGCTCAGGGAGTGATGCTTCTCCTGTCTGCACTGGGGTACCTACCCGGAAAGGGGAGACATGGATCTGAATTCCCTAGGGTGCTGAGAGAATCCCAGCCTGCTCCCTGCTCTGGTGCCTAAAGCCTGGTGTGTCTTCACACAGAGGGGGTGCACCATCGGTGCTCTGTGCTTTTTGGTTCTGCTTGAGTTTCCTCTGATTAACTTTCATATCTGTTTCTTCATCCATACAGTAGGGATGTGAATTTATTTACCTAAAGAAATATAGCTGCTGGATTAGAAGGCGGCACGGAGCAAAGAAATGAGGTGTCCCAAGCAAAGCCTTTAATGCCAAAGCATCTCCTGCTCAGGGAGTGATGCTTCTCCTGTCTGCACTGGGGTACCTACCCGGAAAGGGGAGACATGGATCTGAATTCCCTAGGGTGCTGAGAGAATCCCAGCCTGCTCCCTGCTCTGGTGCCTAAAGCCTGGTGTGTCTTCACACAGAGGGGGTGCACCATCGGTGCTCTGTGCTTTTTGGTTCAAGCCCCTTGAGCAGGCATACAGCTGGGTGCCTTCAGCTAGTGCATCACCTACTCTGAATATTACTGGTGTCATCAGTGAGGTGGTAATTTTTCAGCCACTCCTTAAGAAAATCCTGACCAGGGACTGGATTTTGGCTACGGAGAGGCCGGACTCGTTGGCATCGGCGATCTCGCAGTTCTCCAAGCACCTGCAGCACATGAGGGACCCCACGGGGCAGGTAGGCAGACGGTCCCTTGCCCAGGCACAGTGATGCTGGGGGAGTCCCACTGTCATTTCCAGGCTCTGGTCTGACCTGCAGACTCATCTCCAGCCGTGGGAGATGTTTATAAGCATGGGGACTGCTCATGGGGAGTAGTTCAGCTATTACCATACTTCCACGTGAGAATAAGCAACATCTTTCCTTTCTGTAGTTTAAATACGGGAAATGATTCCTTTAAAGAGGAACAAAAAGCTTTGGTGAACATTACCACTGAACATTATAATTCCACGAGTTGCAGGCCAATATAGTCCTTTCACATCTGTGCAGTTGTGAAATAAATGGGTGGGTGACAACCGCACTATAACTTAAAATAAGATAGCACCCTCAAAACCTACCTTTAAAACAATCCCAAATATCCCCCCCTTGCTCCTTGAGGAGCTGAACGGCCCACACAAAACCATGGGCTGTTCCAGGGTGAGGAGTATTTCCATGCATTCCCTTGGACGCTGCTGGCTGCCTTCAGCTGACCTGGGCAGTGTGTCCTGGCTGGTGCATTGCCTTCGTGCATCCTCTCTATGCCCTTGGCTACTGCTAAAGACCCGAGGGCTTCTTCTGCACTCTCTCACTGCCGTAGCCTTGCCTGAGAACCACAGAAAAAATACCATGAGGTTTGGTTTGGTTTTTTTTTTGACCAGGAGCTTCTTCGTGACATTCATAAGTACGTGGTGAGGGAATACATCGTGCAGGTCATCAAACCCAGACGGAAAATGAACGAGGAGACGCGGCAGCAAGTGAGTGAAAAGATGAACCAGGAAGCCAGAATCCTAAATAATACGCTCATCGATCAGGTATGTGAGTTCCCTCCTGGCCTCCCCAGGTTGTCTCATTCCCGGAGGTGTGATGGCTTCTCGGCTTCCCAAGGACTGAGGCTGCAGGCTTTCAAGGAGGACAAGCCTCGAGAAATGTAAAAGTGCTTAAAAGAGAGCTGGCAAGGTGGTCACTGCAGATTAATGGTGTGGACTTCTAGGCTCTGGCATCCTCTGCTGTGCTGGACCATGGCCATAATGCCCTGCTGAGGGTCTGGCTCCCTGTGGTGCTCATGAGCATTGGGGAGCACAGACTCAGGTCCCAGTGGAGCTCCCAGGGGTGCCTTGCTATTGCCACCCCCCAGCAGCACCCTGCCCACTCCACAGGTTGGATCAATGGGCCAAGATCAATGGGATGAGGTTCAATAAGGCCAAGTGCTGGGTTCTGCATTTCGGTCGCAACAACCCCAGGTGACACTACAGGCTGGGGGAAGAGTGGCTGGAGAGCTGCCCAGCAGAAAAGGACCTGAGGTTGTTGGTGGACAGCCGGCTGAACATGAGCCAGCAGTGTGCCCAGGTGGCCAAGAAGGCCAAAGGCATCCTGGCCTGGATGAGGAACAGTGTGGCCAGCGGGAGCAGGGCAGTGATGGTGCCTCTGTACTCGGCACTGGTGAGGCTTCACCTCAAGTGCTGTGTTCAGTTCTGGGCCCCTCACTAGGGGTGGACATTGAGGTGCTGGAGCATGTCCAGAGGAGAGCCACCAAGCTGGTGAGGGGTCTAGAGAACAAGTCATATGAGGAGAGGCTGAGGGAACTGGGCATGTTTAATTTGGAGAAGAGGAAGCTGAGGGGAGACCTCATTGCCCTCTACAACTCCCTGAAAGGAGGGTGTAGAGAGGTGGGTGTTGGCCTCTTCTCCCAAGGGAATAATGACAGGACCAGGGGAAATGGTCTGAAGTTGGGGCAGGGGAGGGTTAGATTAGATATTAGGAAGAATTACTTTACCGAGAGAGTGGTCAGGCACTGGGACAGCCTGCCCAGGAGGTGGTGGAGTCACCATCCCTGGAGGTATTTAAGAAACATGTAGACATGGCACTTCAGGACATGCTCTAGTGCCCGAGATTGTTGGCTTTTGTCTGTCTGTGGGTGGGTGTGCTGTGTTTTTGTTTTTTGGTGGGTTTGGTGGGGTTTTTTTAGTGGTTGGACTCGATCTCAAAGGTCCCTTCCAACCATGAATATTGTGTGGTTCTGCCCTACACCAGGGACAGCCACCCACGGCCACGCTCTGCCCTGCAGCTGAAAAGCACTTTGCAGGTGCCGTGCTTCCCCCTGACGTCCCCGTGTACCTCCTTGTTCGCAGGGCTCGGACTCCGACTGGCTCCTTTCCGCCATACACCACATCGCCGACATCATTGGGGAGAAGAAAAAAGACAAGATCAAGGAGTACGTCAGGGACCTGTGTCAGGATTATCCAGATATCAGGTGTGTGAAACGGCGGATGCCAGAGCTGCCAGGCTCCATCCCAAACAGTGCCAGCTCGCCCCTTGCCTTGGCCAAGCTCTTCAGCTTCTCTTCTCTGCTGGTAGCCACACGTTAGAGGTCAAGGTGCCAGCAACTGGGGGCATTCCACCTTGGTTTTCTTTCTTTATGGCTGCATCCTTTCTCTTTTTTTTCCCCATCTGCTGTATCTTATAATGCACACAAGTTACCTCAAAAGCCTTTTAATTTCAGAATAGCATAGCATAGCATAGCATAGAATAGAATTAGTTGGAAAAGGCCTACAGCAATCATCTAGTCCAACTGCCTGACCACATCAGGGCTGGCCAAAAGTTAAAGCATGTTAATAAGGGCATTGCCCTAATGCCTCTTACATACTGACAGTCTCGTGGCATCAACTACCTCTCTAGGAAGCCTCTTCCAGTGTTGGAGCACCCTCTCAGCAAAGAAATGCTTCCTAATGTCCAAATCTAAAGCTCCGCTGATGCAGCTTTCAACCATTCCCATGTGTCCCATCACCAGATACCAGTTTATTGCTCCAAATGAACCTTGTTTCACTTAAAGCTCCAGGTTGCCTTTCAGCGCATCACTAGTGTTAGGCCAGTTTGCCAATTTGCAGGCTCCAACTTTGGAGCAAATACTTTGTCTCCTGTTCTCAAGGCTCAGTCCTTGAAGTGCAGCAGACTTTGACGCAGTTCAGCTGTAGTTTCTGAAAGGGCCTCAGCACAACCACTAAATTTTGGAATAAATTATAAATTCTTTCTTTTGTACTTTCCATTTGCTGTTCCAAAGCAGCATCTGCAAAATTTAAGGCCACTGGAAAAGTAAACAAAGTGACTAGCTTTGTGCACGGCTAAGCAGCTTTGTATCAGAAGTTACCTCCTCTTCTACAGCTCTTCTACCAATCACTGAGAAGGAGTATCAGCGGTACAGCTTGCAAAAAAATTCCATTTAATCAGAGTCACTTCAGAAAAAGATCAAAGGTTTTTGCACTGGGTTACACAGTTCCTGCTGAAGAACACTTATACAATCAAAATCAACCATAAACTTAACAAATTCCTCAGGACACTGACGTGGACTCTCAAATATTTAAAAATAAAAAAAAACATTAAATATATTTTCCTTTCCCCAAAACAGAGGCTCAAAATTTTTCATAAGTATATTTAACTTGAGTGGGTCAGATATGCTTCAGGCTTATCTGTGTGGGGAAATTCAAGACATGGATTTCCGAGGTGAACACACCTATCCTACAAAAAAAAAAAAAAAAAGCAGCCTAATGCCAGTGGCCAGACTCAGCTGACGAAGGAGGCAGTGCCTGTTCTGGGAAAGATGGGGAGGTAAATAATGCCTAGTCAGGCTTAGCTATTTGAAAACAATTTTCCAGGCAGAAGAGCCATTTACAAGGCTGTGATTTGTGGTACTTTTTCATCATTAGCCTTAGACCCCAGCCAGGTTTTTAGTCTCATCCTCCTGGTTGATCTATTTCCTGGCTTTCCATTATTGAGTAATATTATTTTAACAATTAAGTTTGGAAAACGAGGCGGAACCTGCTGGACCTGCATTGCTTCCTGTTCAGGTCTCTGTTAATTCTTCCCCTGAGCTCTCAGAGACGTTGCTGAATTTGTATATACCGAGATTACTGGAACAGGGTATCTTTCCAAGTTGGCTTTCCTAGCTCTAATCTAATTAGTGCCTGTCAGCTTCCTAAATATTAGCACTTCCATTACTCAACTCAAAATAATCATTAGATAAAAGGTCTGCAGCCTCTCAGGAAAACTTGAAAAAGACGTCACATGTGTGTGGAGAGAGAGGAGGAAATTCCCCGAAGCACCAGCAGCTGAACGGTGTCCCACCAGCACAGGGTGGTAGGAGCTGATGCTCGCTGGCTCGGTACCTCCTCAGGCTGCAGACCCCCATCCTCGTTGTTCTTCCAGCCAAGGGAAGAGCTGTTGCTTGATGGTTGGATTAGATAATCTTAAAGGTCCCTTCCAACCTAGACAATTCCATGATTCTGTGTTCCCCAGTGCTTTGCCATGGCCTTGTTCCCTCTCCAGCACGGTGGTTGGTTGGTTGTTTACCTCTGGGCTGGTTTTGCTCGCCAGGACTGAGCGAGGTCTTGTTGGGTTTCTGCAGGAAGGAGCACATCATGGCGGTCCTCACGCTCCGGGGGCTGGGGTGTGCCAGGAGAGCGGCGATTCTTCGGCAAGGCTACCATGTGCTGGAGAGCCCTGACGGTGGGGAGGGCAGCACGCTCTTCGCTGATATCGATGCCCCGGTGATCATCAGCTGCTTCTAAAACAGAACCAAAACATCAGTCAGCATCCTCCCTCCTCCTGCGCTGCCTCTACGGCGTGATCCACAATCTGCTACCCCACCTTCCTCCTCTGCAAATGCGACTTTTTGACTGCTGTGGGAAAAGGAGTAGCTTTCTGAACTTGCTACCCCGAGTTCAGAAACCCAAGGCAGCAGATGAGCCAAGACACTGACCTCCTGCCAGAGCTCCTGGGCAGCAGCTCCAGCCCAGGCACCGCGTCCGCCCTGTGTTCAGTACAGACTTTATTGCTCTGTTGTTTGGTCCAAGATTGAGTCTCTTTCCAGACAACAGGAGAAAACCAAAAGGAGTTCACTCAGAGCTATATTAAGGCTCGGACTGTGCGTTCCATAATTATACAGCAGCAGAGCAAGAGCCTCCTTCATAATTAGCATCCCTGAGCAACCAAGGGGCAGAGCTTGGGCAGGGATGTGGTGCCCAAGTCTTATTTCCCTCCCCCATGAATGAGCTGGCATGACACAAGGTTGGTGACGTTGTGACCCGATGCCACAAACCACTACCTGCCTGAGGAGGAAAACCTTGGAGGGTAACCAGAGCCCACAGCTGGGACACGCAGCGCATGGACCGCGCTGCATTCCACGATGGACCCCATGGCCCTTCTGGTGTTTGAGCAGATTTTCCACACTCGTGGGCTGCCTTGCAAAACTCCTGAGGGAACAAAGACCGGTTCAAGCTGTCACAGCCTCTCTGTGTGGGCAGACATGTCTGGACCAGACGTGCTATGCGGAGGGAAGCTCCGAGTCTTCCTTGCCTGGAGGAAAAGGGCCACCGTGCCCTTAGTCCCTTTTCTTGTTTGTTCAAATGAATTTTAACAAACCTGGTACAATCTGACTGCAGTATGAAACCTAATGTGAACCAGACAGGCATAGAGCTATGGGTCGGATCCTCTTCCAGTGTAAGCCAGCATCCCCCCATTGATGGGCACGGAATACCAACGGTTTAACTCCCATGAGGGATCCAAAGCATTACATCCAGCATCTGCAGGGGAGTCTAAAAGAGACATCCAGCAGCCTACAGCCATGCAAATCCGATTTTATTTAATCCAATTTATCCTTTAGGTTGCCCTCCACTGGAATTAATCCAAGACTGGATTACGATCCAAGACATGTCTATGATCTATCAATTAATGTGATAAATGTGGACATGGCATAGCCTTGGAACACTAATTTTTCTGCTGTATAGCCTAGAGCATCAGCAGTGAGACTCTTTTGCTTCCTTTGCTCCAGTTTGCACCAGTGTAAATTTCAAGCTGGATGAGCAGCAGGCACTGGTGACAGGCCGAGGGGGCTGTTATGGTGGATAAGAATTATAAGAGTCCACCTTTAATTCACAATCATCATATGAAAATTTTTTGTAAGGTAGACTTGCTTCCTCCACAGTCAAGATGAAGTGTTTTTCTAAAGATGGCTTTGAAATATCGGGTATGAATTGAGAGCTTGAGGCAGAAAATCCTGGGAGGAATTTTCTGCCCTGCATCATTCTTCTATACAGCTCGTGACAATTCCTGCAAATCCTTGGCTTGGTGACTCTCTGTATTTGCTATGGAGAAGGAGAAGTAAACTACCATCTGCATCTTCTGTTGTGTGTGAAGAGCTCAGGAACACCGTGGAGCTCCCCTTCCCTGTCCCGAGGACACGGTGTAAGCAGGGAGCCCTGGATTACACCCCGGTGGGTGTGTGAGCTACATCCCCCATCCCAGCAGAGGGGAAGGGCTTCAGCGCTGAGAGATTTATATTTAATGTCAAATGCATTGACTAAGTGGGGAGGGGGGAGAGTATAAAAAGGGGTTTTCAACTTTTGCATCCTCAGCCTGAGACGTCTAAGACTGAATTTTCAGAGGAGTGTGGGATTTGAGGCCCTAAAGCCTCAGCGGGAGCTTTTGTGCGTCAGAAATTTCCCTCTGCCCTGCGTGTGTCTCTGATCCAAGCACCTCATGCAAGGCATCCGAGGCACAGAACTTTTCCCAAGTGCATTAAACATATACTGGGTTTTCAGTCTTATTATTTCACTAGCGGCCTCTCCACAAAGCAGCTGCCTTTCCTCAGGCTCCAGCCGCCTGGCCCTGGGATTAGATAAGGCTTCCGTTTGCTAATAAAATCAAGTTGCTACCCTGAAGTCACGGAGGAAAGCTGGGCACAGTCACCTGCTTTTTGTCACAGCCTCTCCTGGGACTGTCAGATCCTGCAGCCTGGCATCCTGTGAGCCAGCAGCAGGAGCCCAGCCTGCTTCCTCCAGGAGATGCTGCTCCCCTGATGCTCGTTCTTGATCAATCCAGTTTAATGCTGACCCCATTAGGAAGAGGCTACAGTTCTGCTCCTGTCCTGCCCTGACACCCATGCTGGAGAGAGAGCTCCAGGGTGGCTGGGGAGCGAGGTCCTGTCCCTCCCTGGGCAGGGGGATGCTCGGTCTGGGCTGCAAGAGCAGGTCCTGGAGACGTCTGAGCCCAGAGAGAAGGGCTATGCTCTCTGCTGCTGTCCAGCTGTCTTCTGTAGAACACCCTGTGTTGATTAGGACCATACTTTACATTCCAATAAAAGAGAAGAGAGGCCTCTCAGGGCTTTTATTGTGAAATATGTTGCTTTTGTAGGAAAGTGCCAAGGAGCTCACTTATTACCCCACGAACTCCCTCTGTTTGCTCTTTCCCTGTGATTTCCACCATCAGCCCTATTCCTACCCCAGCAGGCAGTTACATTCCCCACCAGGAGAAGCAGCTGGAGACCCCCAGCTTTACCCCAGAGCCACCAAGTGCAGATACGTCCTCCGGTGAATAAGGCTTTCTCAAAAGCATCAAACTAATTGGAAGAGCCAAACTCTCTCCAGATTTAGCCTCTCAGGGGTGAGCGCTGCGTTTCGGGGGGGGAGACCTGGCACAGCTCGCAGCGCTGCGTGGGTGGTGACATTTTACTTTTTGTTTGTTTCTGAGGTCCCTGCTGTTTCACAACACTGTTTGCTTCTGGTTTGGGGTGAAGAGGAGTGCTTCCAGTATTCTGTCCAGGGGAACAGTGTCTGCAGCCAGGGTGGTCCAGAGGATGGCGTTTGCCATCGGAGACTGGCCCTCAGATGCCATCATTTCAGCAATTCAGTGGAATTGTCTTTTCCTGGAAGCAAAGTGCCACTCCATTGCTCACCAGCAGCAGCTGGAAAAGCTCCAAACTGCCCATCAGAGCATCACCAGGCTGCAGAGATCCCTCCCTGAGGAAGGGAAGGAGACGAGCAGCAGCCATCCATGGCAATTACTCTGCAAGGAAAAGGAAAAATGATGCAGCTTTAACATGGAAAACAGGTTCGCTCCAAGCAAGAAAGTAATAAAACTGAGACATTGCAGGGAAAGCTCAGGAGGCTGTCCCTGAGCTGAGAATCCTAATCCATCAGTCAGTCAAAATATTGCAGAAAAAGCCTTTTAGTGCAGCAGCACTATAATGTTTAGCTCCCTGCCATGTGTTGTCTTCCAGCAAAGAGCTCTCAATTGGGTTAAAATATTAAGGAGAAGTGGATTGCAGTATTACATCTACTTTTATTACCTCTAATATTATATCAAACATTACATCTACAGGGCCTGACACCACCAGCAAACATAGCTGGGAAGAAAAGAGGTGCCAGAACATTATTATCTCGGGGGCAGCTTTACTTTTCAGCTACTCACTACTTCGGTAATTATATATCACAGTTCTCTAAAGTATTGGTGTTTAGCAAATATGTTTATCTTCTGTATTTTGCTTATTTCTCCATGAAATCCTGTTGTGGTTGGATTTACTGCCCCAAAGCCAGTCCTGTCAGTTTTGTGGGCACTGGGCAGATAGAGGAATGCTCTGCTCAGCATCGCTGTGCGCTTACATCCCTTAAGGACATTTTTGTGTAAGACTGTTAATGTTGAGATAACATTAGCACTGGGATTGTCCCACCTCTCTCATAAAACCCATGCAGGAGATCCGTCAGCTTGCCGGAGCATTTATTGGACATAGCTTGTTTAAATCATTACTGTTGCAATAATAAGAGAGTATTGATTTACATCAAGGTAAAGATTGATGTAAATTAATGTGTGGCAGAAGTGGATTAAGATTAACTTCTAAAGAACTGCAAGAACTTCCTCTAGTCCCACAGCCACATAATTAACTCCTTGCCTGGGGACACTGAGCTAACGTGAGCTTTGCCTCCCTGTATTCATCCCTGTCACACAGAGCACTGCAAATAGCCTCTAATACCCTTCCAATGCAGCACTCTCCATTTATATTTGTAAATCTGTATCAAGTCATTCAAATACATTATCCCAGAAAAGGAGTAGCATGTAAAAACAAGAAACTTCCAGGAAAAGGCTGTTGTAGTATTTTTGCCATCTTGATACTGCCTCAGTGAGATTCTCAACACGCCCATATAAAGCTTTCTCCATTAGCTGCATGGAGATTATATTCTTTTTAAATCAGGCGGAAAAAGTGAATGGCGGATCAAAGATGAGCACCTAAGTCCCACGATGTCTGACCAGACATAGTTTATGTTTAGCCATGCATGAAATTGTGCCTGGCAGCACGATTAGGTCCATAACCTGAGCTCTGTAACAAGCTGGGGCTGGGGAGCTGCCACGGGCTTTGTTATGGGATGCAGGATGGTACCTGGGTTCCCAGGACTACAGGGATCAGGTGAGACAGAGCTGCTTTTTTTTTTGTGAACAGTGTTACACAAGTACAGAGAAAGCAAATGAAGCCAGAAAGCAGAAAGGGGTGGTTTTACAGCTGGCCAAGCCATCCCCCAGCTGTGCTCAGCCCCTGGAAAGGGGCTGGTGAACTGCAGCTGGGAGAAAGATGCTGACAACCAGAAGGAAGCCCAGAAAACAGGAACAATCTCTCAAACTGCATCCATAGAGAAAGATGCTGATAATCAGAAGGAAGCCCAGAAAGCAGGAATGATCTTTCAAACTGCATCCATAGAGAACGAGAGGTTTGCTTAACGTTTGTCAGTGCAGAGCAGTGGCCTTCAACTTTTTTCTGTCTATGAACTAAAAAAGTACTTCCAGGGAAGGCACAAAGCACAGACATGATAATAGTCTTCCTGTCAGTTAAAAAATTGCTGCAAAAGGGAAAGAATAAGCTCTTCTCCATTTTCTGGGGGGGTCAGGCACAGAGAACAAAGCTTCTGCTACAGCAAGTAGGCACAAATTAGATGAGATGAAGTAAAACCACTGCTAGTGCTGAGTGGGCTGAAGTGCTGAGGACAGCGTGGTGTCCATACCATCAGTGGCATTTAGCAGCAAGCCAGGCAGATGCCTGCAAGAGATGTGCCAGCATGGCTGGTCCTGCTCTGCCATGGGGACAGATGTGCTGAGTCCCTTCTCAGCAGTGCTGCCTGACCACACAGAGGTAGGAGCAGGAGTGTGCTGGTGACCTGAACCATCAGCTGATAATGCCTGGTGACACTGATGCTGTGGCTCTCTAGGGCTGTAGTGATGTGGAGGACCATGGGACCATAACCAGACCCAGGTTCAGATGCTGAGCTACAACAAGGACCAGCATCCTCAATGGTCCACAGTGCCAGCAGCAAGAACAAGACCGGGGAGTTTCTCGTGCTTTCACATGCATGTACCCAACAGTCCTTTCTGCTGATGCTCATCATGGGTAATCCCAGAACTGAAATTAGAGAAAAATCAAAGAGACCATAAAAGTCTGGCATCCTGAGCAAGGCTGGGGATCATTTCCTGAGTGAGGGAGCTCACAACTTTACAATACTTTTTCCAAAACTTGTTTAAAAATATTTCCTGAAGGAACTGTGCTATGAACAGAAGCTCATTGAATAGGTAAAAGGCGATATGGAATTAATCATCAGAGACTCATTAGAAGGAGCAAGGCCGACAATGCTGGTATTTTTTGTCTTCAAAAGCACGTCAGTTGCCCACGTGGACCATCATCTTCCCCTCACAGCCCCAGTTACAGCACCAGAATGCATTACACATACTTTCACGTTGAGAACCTTTTAAATGAATGGGCCTTGAGCCCTCCAAAGCACCAGTGAAAGCCCACAGTGTCTCTCTCCCTCAGTGATCTCAAGGCTGAACCCACTGGGCACATGTTTTTGCTAAGCAGCCATTAGTCATCCTCCAAAACAAAGACTGTTCCCCAGGATGATGCATGTACTGACTTCAAGAAGACGCGTGGAGAGAAATAACAGCCCAAAAGGCCAGACTCGAATTGCCCATTATAACTTCTCTCAACAAGCTCAAGAAGGAGCTGTTATCTGGAAGCATGATTGCTTGTGGCTGATGGACAATGCATGAGACACCGCGTTGATTCAGGACACCTTCTTCTGGATCTGATGAACTGGGTCCTGGTAGAGTAGGGTGAGGGGTAAAGAGGAGACAGCAGGGTGCAGGGAAGGGAAGAAACAAGCCAAGAAATGGTTTGTGGTGCTCATCCCATACATCTCCTGCCCCTGACTTAGCCTGCAGCCCAGCCCTCCACCTGCATCTGCCCAGCAGGAGATGGTGGCCCTGGAAAAGGTAACGGAGAAGGAGGCACCCACACAGTTCTGGTCCAACATCCCCTCCTATCTCAGAAGCACCTCTAGCCCTACAGGTGAATGTGCAGCCTTGTGGTGTCACACGTGAAATGCCTCTTTTCAACTCTCTTTTACCTGAAAAAAACAACTCTTTTTTTCCTTTTTAGTTAACCATATGACTTTCACTCACTCCTTTCTTCACTACCATGTAGCACAAAGCCAAATTCAGCCACAACACAAGAAAAAAACATAGATACATGGGATTGTACCAGGTAGTGGCCAAGATTTCAACCCGATTATTCTGTGAGAGGGAAAAAAGCCACCCTTGAGAAGATCCTCCCTTGCAGTGCTGGCTGGGATGCTGGAGCAGCTGTGGCACTTTCCCAGGCTAGGCATGCCCCTGGCACGGCAGCACTCCACATTGTGGCAAAGACTACCACACCATGGCAAGAGAGCACCTCCCAGGAGCCCCCGTGGTGGAACCCCACACGTGACATTTCATTGCTGCCCACGGGGAGGGAGGGCTGAACCTGAACACGCCACTTCCTCCGCCTTTGGCTCTGAACCTTGGGTCTGGGATTTCTCATTTCTATCAAAAATGCCTTTTGCAAGTGATTAAATACTGAAACAGTTCAAGGCTGTCTCTTCTGAATGAATAAATAAAATAAAATAAAAAAAGATTTGTTTGGCTTGCAACAGGGCAGGAATACTTGAATGGATGCCTAGTTTTCCTCTATTAAACATCCAGAGCAGGAGAAATTCTTGAGTTAACAAAACTGCCTACAGACAAGCAGCAAAACTCACAGCAATGTTGTTCAATTTCCCAGAGTTATTCACAATCCTTTGTGCAAATAACAACCGCCACCGCTCCACAATCAGTTTTTGGTGTGTGGATTTAGATGCCATTGTCTTAGTCACGACACGAAAACTGAATTGCATTGTTACTGTTACAGCTCTATTTCTGGGAAAATACTTGCATGGGGCGTACCAAACAGAATCCCCAAAGGAGTATTATTTTCCACAGTTTAAAAAAAAAAAAAAAAAGTCAATACTATATGTAACAGCCCTTTC